AAGTAGACTGTTCAATGTGTATTCTTTGAAGACTGATCCGTTGCTTGGCTGTGTGCACCACAGTTTTGGGGTGAGGAAGGTGAAAGGAGAGGGATTTGCATTTCCCAAGACAAATGTCTGAACCATGTTTCATTTTGGAGTTAGGTTCTAGTATTTAAATATCGTACAGTTTCCCATATATATTTTTTTATGTAATAAGAAGTGCCATTTTCTTCTGATCTATGACTTTGGCAGATGCTTGGATACCTCTGGAGCCATACACATTATAAGCTGGTCTTATGGTAGCCTTTGGTTACTGATGAAGTGGATATATGATGATTCTCCTGGCAAGTTTCTGCCTCTGAAGCCAAGGGCAGTCAAAACATCCTATTTCACAGTTAGGTTGCCAACACCACCATTCCTGTCTTTAAAACTTGCTCAATGTTAATGACAGGTGTATCTTGCATCTATAGAGGTTATAACTTGCAGGAGAAACAAGCTGGCTTTTGTGTGTGTTATAAAACCAGTAGTTAGTAAGATGTCTTCAAGGTAAGTTGCAAGTGGGTCTAAAAGCCAGCTTGGCCTGTTGTGAAGGTTTTAATGGCATCTGATGATGATATCCTGGATGAAATGCTAAGAGCTTTGGAAATGAATTCAAGTGAACTTCTGTAATATACATACATGGAAATCAAGCAGTTTTCTGAAGCTACGTAATTACACGCTGACAAGTATTCCACTCACATCAGCTTCTACATTTAATAGTTACTTGATGTGCCCAGCCTCATGGTGATGTGTCTCAGAGGAGTATTCATAACTGGTTCTGCAACAACAGAATAAATAGTATGTAAAAGTAAATCAATATTTGCTATCTCTAATTTGCTGTTGAATGTAAATGCTGTTAGGGGATTGGCTTCTTCTAGGTATTGCAACAGTAGTGACCTTACAGGAGATCTGAAGAAGGAGGAAATGGTATTATCAGTAAATGCCTGAGGAATTTCTAGGCTGGTGGGGAAGGAAATAGTGCCACTGAGGAAAGCACCAGAGCTCTGTTGTCCATTAATGACTTAACCTTGAATTTACCCAAGTGGTTTTTGAACTAGCTTAGTTTTACTCTATAACAAATGAGTCGCCTTTGCCATAAAATTTGACAAACCAGAATATATATCTTTGTAAATATTTCTTTGCAAACTGACTAGGCTGTAGATACTGTGGCTGAGCCAAATTCTGCCAAATTCTGCTTTTAGGTCACAGTTGTGGGCAGAGAACTGTGTGGGTTATACAATAAGCTCATCATCCTACCAGTACACCTTTTGCTTCTCTAGGGGTTCCTTCCCTTCTAAATTAATGCAGCAAATGCCTGTCAGTGCCTTACCTGTGTACTTCGATATAAAGCTGTTCCTTTACAACATCTAAGACCCTACTGTAAAAGCGTGTTGCAGCTGAGCTTATTGCAAGAGTATGGAAGACCCAGCTTCTGTGTGGTGGTCAGAATTTCTCTTCGTAATTTTTCTCTTTTGTCAAGGTCTGAGTTGAGCTCAACCAAAATGGCAGTTCCTAACTGTTTTCTACCTTCCAGGATTACATCTTTGAATCCAACCCTCACAGCAGACATCCTTCTTTTCCAGCATACGATTTGTGTGCAGGCCAGCCATATGGTGTGTGTAATTATTATTTTATAATGGTGTTATTGCTCTCTAGCTGCCCAGTAAACACAGTGCAGTTTCAGTAAACTATATACATAGGCATAGGAACTTTAGACTTGAACGATTTTCTTCATTTTTATACAATAGTATAAAAATGCGAAGGAGAAAAAAAGATTACATTTAATTTATAAGAACTGCATAAAGTTCATATAGTCTCTACAATCGTCTCAAATGAAAAGGTTGTGGAGAAGAGGGGCTGTACTGAAACTGGGAGGTCCACAAAACTGAAGAAGAATAAGTTAAAGGCTGAACCCAGGACAGGCATGTCAGTAAATACCTGTGCTGAACTTTTCCCATTAACTCTACCATTGAGCATATGGCCTGCATTAGGTGTTTGTCTGCTTTAGGGATTTTATAAACACATTTCCTTCTCTTTCCTTTTGCCCATCCAGTTACTATTGCTTTGGATTATTACAGAATCAAATAGTGTCTGTTCTGGAGTCATCATTCTTACTTGAAAGAGGCTGCTTGCTGTAGGAAGGATCACTGGTTGGTGTCAGAAACCTGTGTATATGTGCAAGTTCTTTCCTGAATGAGCCTTTTAGGGATTTTTTTTATTTTCTTTTTTTTTTTTTGGTGTTTGAGCTTCCTGAAGCAGTAATACCAGTTTGGCTCACCCATCTTTTGAGGCATATGTGGAGCTCTAATTTGCATCCATGATAGAATTTCTGCAGCAGAATTAGGAGCCAGTGTGTGCTCAGTTTCATGGATGATCTGTAAATAAACACAGCTCTCTTTTTTATCCTTATTTACCGTGAAAATGAAGGTTGCCGAAGTGACTGGTGAAAAATTTGACTGAAAACCAAAAAGCCAAGGTGCTGATGAAATCAGAAAACATTCATTTTGCTTCAGTGTACCTTCTGTGTTTCCTCTTTGATTCTGGTCAACACTGGGATTCTGTATATCCAGCCCATTTGATAAGGTCCCCCATCCTCCCTGAAGCATGGTGCTGCCCACCTGAGAATTCCTGAGTATTTTCAGACATGCTTAAGAGGTGTCCCTCTTGCCTGCCACTGCTACGCCTGTTCTGTCTTCCCCTTTTCACCAAAACATGCATCTGAACAAAAAGAAGTATATCTGGGAACAGATTTGGCTTAACATTAACCTCCACCCACCCTCAAAAGTTAATTTTAACAGATCAGTTGTGGAAGTTACACCCTAGGTGACACATAGCTGTGGACGTGTGAGTGCTTGGAAAGCCAATTCTGGGGTCAAGGTGTTGAAGGAAGGGAAGCCCAGGAAAGATACGACACATCTCTTAAGTTTATTGTACTTTGAGATTTGTAGGTGGTAAATGCTGTGGGGTTTTTAGAGATATTCTGGAACTCTAATATAACTTACAGTTTCATTTGTAGAGAGCTGTTTCAAATCTGTGCACATTTTTCTAAGATATCTTAAAAGCCAGCAGCAATAATTAGTTTGGCATTTTCCATGTTTTCGAAAGCATTTAAATGGTAATGACTTTTTTTAACCATTCTCACATAAAATTAGGTTTTACAGGAGTAAGAGGACTTAAAAGGCCTGAACAGCCATCAGTGACAGATGTGATTCATGCTGAAAGCTGTCTTCCAAGGCATCAAAATAAGGAAAGCAATTATACATATGATTAGAGACTGCTGACCCTTAAGTTAAAATGATCAAAAGGAACAATATGAAAATGTGATTTACATAAGCTACTACTTAATCTATAATTAGTCTGACCAATAAAAACAAACCAGACTTTTACAGAAAGTGATTTCCCAGTAGATAGGTTAGCTATTTTTGTAGGGCTGAAGAAACACAAAATGATTCTAAAATGTATTTGATACGCTCTTTGAGTAAATTGAAATACAGCATATAACTAGTTTTAGTAGTTTTTGTTCAGAAATTGTCAGATTTCCTTAATTCAAGTGAAATTTGAGAACCACTTGAGAATAATTGTCTCCACAATGAAATATTACTTTGTCAGTTTACTTCATTTATATTAGATATATGGTTTACTTTTTTATATTAGAAGGTAAATGAATGTTGGTCAGTAATATGATTCCCCTTACACTTTTGCTGTAGTTCACTATGGAAATGGATTCAGGAAATCGCAGATGTGATTAAAAACTCTTCAAGAGCTGTTTGTACAGCACCTAGCCTGTAGCACTTCTGGCAAGGAGCAAGCACTCCTCCTCTTACTGCAATATAAGTAAAATGATCCTTCAATGTAGGGACTTGGAATTTTGATTTTAAATGCACTAGTTAGGTGTCCTGGGTTCAGCAGTAGCAGTCATTTTTCTCCTTCTTAGTAGCTGGTGCAGCACTGTGTTTTGACTTTCAGCCTGGGAACAGAGCTGATAACATTGATGTTTTAGTCTGGCCAAGGACTTTGTGAGCCTCATGCTCTGCCAGGGAGGAGGGAAAGCCGGGAGGAAGCAGAGACAGGACACCTGCCCCAACCAGCCAAAGAGGTATTCCATACCACAGCACATCATGCCCAGGATGTAACTGAGAGTTACCTGGAAGGACTAGTTCACTGCTGGGTAGGACTAGGTATCAGTCGGTGCTTGGTTGGGCTGGGGGGGGCGAGTTATTGGTTGGCTGGTGGTGAGATGTCGTATTCTCTTCCCTTGTTATTTCCTTTATCATTATTATCATTGGTGGTAGCAGTAGTGATTTGTGTTATACCTTAGTTACTAAACTGTTCTTATCTCAACCCGTGGGAGTTGCATTCTTTTTGATTCTCCTCTCCGTCCCTCCGGGAGTAGGGGGAGGGCAAGAAGGGGGTGAGTGAGTGAATGAGCTGCCTGACTGGTTTTAAACCACCACATTAGGAGACTGTGAAGATGAGATTTGATGAGGTTTTTCCATTCATAAGAATGAAGACAAAATTGTTGTGTGGCTAATGTGGTCCTGTTCCTTGTGCATACAAGTAAGTACACTGGAATCCATGGCAGCCTGATTGGCATGAGGCATCAAAGCAATAATCCTATAAATGGACATAGAAGGGTCAAGCTGCCTGCTCAGAGGCTAACATCACTGGGGAGCTGTGCACGACATGTAAATATTCACCTCCCAAAAGCTGCAGTGAAGATTGTGAAACTGAAGAGAGATTTCTTCCTACATCCTTTAGAATGCATCTACAAGTGCACAGCTCCTGTCTGGGCAAAGAAATTTTATAAAACACCATAGCTCAACCTTATATTTCCTGATTTGGAATATATTTATTTTATTCACAGGGCTCTCATGAATTCTGACTTCTTTGTGCATCAGTTTTTGAAATTTCCTACAAGGTTTTCCTCTTCAGGAAAATAAAGTGCTGGTTTTTTTTTTTTTTGTTTCTGGTATTTCTAGTGGAACGGGAAAATGTACAGAAGAGGACCTTTACCAGATGGATAAACCTACATTTGGGAAAGGTAAGACTGACAAACAGCCTTGATATTGGGATACAAGGACCAAACCATAGATGTATTGCAGGCCATGTCTTTTAAAGTAGTTTAAATTTGGAAACAAATTTGACTTCTGTGCATATGGGGATGTTTGGAGGAGAATGACGGGAAGCATATTTCTGGTTAAAAAAAAATTGCTTTTGAGGTACAACAAATGCTTGGCTGGCTTTAGTTCACCTCAGGTGCATTTAAGCCCGAGTTTAATGTTGTCATGAGGCTAGAATTTTCCCACAGAACATACTCACATAAAGTCAAATGTGGCTGAGTTTGCTCTGAGGTGATTGTGTTCTTCCATGGACTGGAAGTTCAAACATTGGAGTCATCATGGCCTATGTTTTTCAGAACCTGGCTTCATCCCAGAGCTGCAGATGGGAGCCATTCATTACTTGTCAGTCATGAGGGGAGGAGGGCTGTATGATGGGATCTTTATGTATCCACTTCCACTAGAGAGCTAATTTTTGGACATCATATTTTTAAGATGTGATTGTTTCTTAATCACACCCTCATATGGCTATTAAACCTAATTTACTTTTCTTATTGATAGTAGTGATAACTCTCCTGAGTAGTCTGCCACTTGGAGAACGATTTTCCTGCTGTTGAGGATGGAAAGAGATAAGAAAACATATGTAATATTCCTGAGAGAGAAGTAATGCTTAGTGCAGGATCAAGGAATCAGACCAGCTTCCTAATCTAGAAGAAGTCTTAACTTGAACTGGAGTTTGAAATTCACAGTGCTTCTAGTATCTGTGTCTGAATTCCATAAAGTACAGACTGGGAACGAGTTTGGGCTACAAGCTGACTCTCAGTTTAGCTCCTGTAGTTCTTGGGAAGTGATTGCATTTCAGACATAGTAAAGTAAACGAGTTCTAGAAGAAAGCCATCACATACATAGCTGCTTAAGTTCTCTGTTCTGCAACTGAGTCTTGCTGAAGAAGTAAAGGGATCCTCACTGGAAAGTCGGAATAAGACTAGTAGGAAATGTTTTGACTAGCAGGTGCTCCCAGAGGTCTCTCAGAACAAAGGCGGTGTTACATGATGCCTTTTTGAATCAGGATCTAGGGCTTTATACTAACAGTAATTTTGGAAGTTGTCAGAAAAGGTTGTCAAATATGTGACTGTGGAAAAGGTCTTTGATTTACAGAAGGAATCAGATCCTTAAAAGGCTATAGGGTGCTGTTAATTCTGCCTTGCCAAACATGTGAAGTCTTAGAATCTGAGTGGGCAGGTGAACTGTTTTCTCTGGATTCAACCAAGAAAAGTGCTTCTCTGAAGAAAAAGCAAAAGTCTGCCCCTATATTAAATGTTTTTCCTGGAAGTGGCATAGTAAACATACCCGTGTAAATAACCAAAGCTTTGCTAAAGCTCTCTCTAATTACAGATGATTCTCTGAGGACACCCACTGAGGAAGGTGACCTTTATCCTCAAAGGAGCACTTCTTTCAGAGTGGCTTGTTTATTTTAAAAACAGCAGTGAAGTCTTCTTCTTCTTGTACTTTTTCAGGAAACTTATGGTGTGCTGTGTCCTCTTTTGGAGTAGACAGTCCCATTTGGGTCATCCTTTGATGGCTCTGCTGGTCATGGGATAATTAGGAGTAGACTGCATCTTCTGAGTTCTGGTTGCTCTTAAGTACTGAAAGGATAAAAAAGGTTTGGGTTTGAGGCTTTCAGATAGGTTATTTGATTTTTAAATGAAGGATACTTTGCTTTCTTTCAGTATGGATCATTACTTAGTACTCTTGGCTAGATTAAAGGCTAGTAACAAAAACGTATTGTCCAGTTTTCCAGAAGCAGTGCTTAATTGAACAGTAGTGCATTGCCCAACCAGAGATGAAAAGATTGTGCTCTTTAGGGATATGTAAGTGAGTGACACCTGAAAAGAGCATAATTGCTGCAGTTGGGACTGCTCCTAAGGGCTGAGCTGACTTGGCTGTGTGCCTCATAGCACACACATCATCAGACACCTCAGTGAAGTGAGGAGATAGTTCCCTTCGGAGGAGTCTGCTGAGAAGAGAGAGGCGCAATAGAAGAAGCTGCTATTTAAAGTAGGAAAAGAAATGGGCAGCAACGGAAATGAAAATAGTAGGAAACAGAATGACACCACCAGAAACCTTACAGAGGAGACATTGTGGATTGCAGGCTTATTTCAACATAAAGTGGGATTTGCTTCTTCTGGACTTGTTGTAGTTTGAGGGATCAGCACCCAACCCTTGGGTGGTCACTTCCTAGGCAGACTATTTAGGGTGAGACTCTGTTATGGGAAATCTGGAATAAGTCTTCGTCTTATCTCAATTACATGAATACTGTACCTCAGTTCTAACTCTGACATTCCTAGGCCAGAATTGCCACTGATACGAAGAACAGAGCACCTCCCATATGAAGACAGGCTGATAAAGTTGGGGCTGTTCAGCCTGGAGAAGAGAAGGCTGCGTGGAGACCTCATAGCAGCCTTCCAGTATCTGAAGGGGGGCTATAGGGGCTCCGGAGAGGGATTCTTCATCAGGGCTTGTAGTGACAGGACAAGGGATAATGGGTTTAAACTTAAACAGGAGAAGTTTAGGTTCGATATAAGGAAGAAGTTCTTCACTGTGAGGGTGGTGAGGCACTGGAACAGATTGCACGGTGAAGGTTCCATCCCTGGCAGTGTTCAAGGCTAGGTTGGACGGAGCTTTGGGCAACATGGTATAGTGTGAGGTGTCCCTGCCCATGGCCTAGGGGTTGGAAGTAGATGATCTTACAGTCCTTTCCAACCTTAACCATTCTGTGGTTCTGTAGTCAGCCCTTTCTTCCTGCAGGCTAAGTTTTACTCCTAGTATCTCAGTCTTGTAAAATTTTCCTTCTTACTCTCTGAAATCATAGTGACTTATCAAGCAATACTGCTTTAAAGGCTACCTGTTTGTTGTTTTTTTTTTATTTTCTACACAGTGCAAGCCTCCTCTGAAGGTGAAAGACTTGTTTGTTGATATACAAGATGGCAAAATCTTGATGGCACTACTGGAAGTCCTGTCAGGACAAAAGCTGGTATGTATACGTTAATGCTCACATATTCCATTTGGAGATCACCCAAGTCATGTTACCAAGAAAGGATATATTTGGTGTATTGTTTTTTTTAATGAATTCTGTTTCTGTGTTGCCTGATATGCGCTTAATAGGTCTGCTGATGCTCGATGTAGTTGTGCGTTTAGTTCTGGTGTCCTGGCTAAGACTTCATTAGTCTTACTGATAGGGTATATATCAGAAGAGCAAAGCTTCACTTACCAGAATCTTTTTCCCTCCTCCTTTCTTTGCAAGAGCTGTAGAAAGTTGTACATAGCAGAAGTGGAAACACCCAGTACAAATATAAATGACCAGCTAGACTTAACATAATGTTTTCTTTCTCCATCAGTCCTGTCAGCAAGTACTCTCTTCTGTGTCGGTATCACACTTGGATAAGAGGAAACCTGTTCTGCAGCTGTCTCACCACTGCAGATGCACTCAGACGATGATGATCTACAGTGACTGAGCCATCTGCATACTGCAGCATGAATGGCCTCTGCGGTCACACATTCACAACTGCTTGTTTTGTAATACACTTGCAGTTTTGGGGAGCAGTAGTAGAAGCTTCACTGTCTTTGTGTGCATTCACAGAGGTTGCATTGAAAGCCAGGCTGGAAAGGAATTGAAGGGGGTGACACCTCATGGTAAACCTGAGGCTGTGCCCAGCAGGTCAGGGAGGAGGGCAAGGCAGGAGGTAAGGTCAGCTGGCTGGACTTGTTGCACTGGCAGTTAGGTGTTCCTGCACACATGTGATGGAAACTGTGCTAAAGTGGAACTGCAGGGAGACAGGCATGCAACAAATCTGTTTCATTTCTGCCAAAGTGAAGGTATCTGCCTCCCACCTGCCTGTGCCTGCAGTGAAAGCTGCTCACGCTTCCTAATTAGGATCATGCAATTCAGTTCAATTTAAGAAAAAAAGATAAATCCATTATTATGTATTTTCAGGTAAATTTGATCCTGTGACTGAACATAGTTGGGGCATGATTACATAAATAATCAATGTGGCAGGTTGAAGAGAGGGATAACATCTGGAAAGCAGGAAAGCTGGTTGCTAACCCTGTTTTGCTACAGGAAGGGCAGATCATGTAGTTGAAGCACTTTACTGATCAGCAAAGATGACAGTAATTTTACAGAGGTAGGTTACCTTAGTCTTATTTTGGCTCTGTGTCAATAGTTTCTAAGCTTCATATGACATGGTGAATAATTCTACTGTTTTTACAAACAGTGTGCCTTTTATTTTTTCTAGATGCATGAATACAAATCTTCAAGCCATCGCATTTTTCGTTTGAACAACATAGCCAAAGCACTGAAGTTCTTGGAGGATAGTAATGTGAGTATATCCAAAGGTCTTAATATTTTCTCTCCATGTATGTTGCAAATTATATTGAAATTGTAATTAATCTGATGTGCCGCATGTATGTAAGAGGAATGTACCACTTAAAGGCACTATGACTTACCTTAGCAGCAAGGCTGAAAAGCACATAAAAATGCACAGCGAGAACACCTACAGAGTCTAAAACAAGGATTATTTCTTCATTTTATAATGTAAATGTTCAACAGGATTAAAGGATCAGGAATCCGATATTAAAAGGAATTAAAAAGAAATGCAAGTAATTCTTATGAACTGGGTCTTAGTGGCATTGCTTCAGTTCCGCTGAAGGTAGATGACTTGGTCAGTAATATTTACAGTATTACAAATCATGTATTTATCTGGCAAACTCCTGCAGCAGCTGATCATGAGTCAAAGGCAGGAAAAAAATAAATCTGAGAACATGACATAAAAGTATAATTCCAGGAATCAAAACCTTATAAGGATACAACTTCCTTTGTAGTCAGTGTGGTATTATTGCAACATCACTTTCTATTGTAAGTGACCAAGCAAGATGAGAGCCTGTAGCTTGAAATTATTCATACTTTTTTATTTGTTTATTTCTTTCTTTATTATTTCTCCCATTAGGGCTTTATTCCAAAGCCCTGTGGATGTGGCTCGTATTTTGAAAAATTCCTGCTCTTGAAAAATGTGAGAAGCAATGGAGGCAAGAGAAATCCTAGCCATGTAACAACTCATATATATGGTATACCTAGGTCTTTCAGAAGGAGAAAACAATTATTAGACTACGTCCTATAAAGGACTGCAGTAGGGTTTGAACTTTATGGGTGAGGAAAAATCCAGTGTGTGCTTATGGGCAAAACCCTGCCTTGCGTGAAATGCCACGACAGCAACTGATGTAACTTTGCTGCTTCCCTGCAATGAGCTTAGCTCTTGCTCCAGAGATTGTGGCGCCAAGCTAGTCATGCAGGACAGTCACTGAGAACCCTCTGTGGGAATGAGCATGATGTGAGGTTCTTAGTGGATCTCTTACAACCTCATGGATGTGGGAGGTTTAACCTCCTTTGCCTTTTTCCCCAGGCGATGATGTGAAAGGTTAAGAAGTTGTCCAGTAACTTGCAGGTATTCCAGTCTCCTTTTTGAAACTCCATCAGTAGGGGCTGATCTGGCCCCTCAATGTGTATGTCTATGTGTCCTGCTATAGAACTGCTGAGAAATATTTCACATTTTCACATATTTCTTAACAGTTTCCCAGTTGATGCTTTCTACCCAAATGCAGCTCAGTCCCACTGGCAGATGGCATATTTTTCTCTTGGTTGATATCAGCACATTACAGAGCTGCAGCTGGAGCATGTCTGGTTGTCAGGACCTCACTACAGGACAACCTAGAACCAAAATGAGCAAGGCCAGGCCTTGCTCCAGGAGAAGCCTTAGACACAGGCAGCCTTTTAATTAGTAGTGCTAAAACACCTACTTTTCTATGGATTTCTTGTTTCCTTAAGGGCAGGCATCCAGTATCTTGTAGCCAGGTATCTCTACTGAGCTGGGTGACAAACGTAAGCAGCAGTGAGAGGACAGAGCTGACACTGAGAGCAGTCTAATGATAAGTACCACTCACTCACCATTTTGAAGAAACTGCTATTCAGACGTACTAGGTCTTAAAGGTTTTCCCATGCCAAATACCTTGGAGCTAGCAAGAAATCTGAGCCTTGAAACATGACAGCTAGAGGTGTCTTCTTGCTAAGATTGAAAACTGTTGTGCAAACCATGAGATAAAAGTTATTTTGCTTTCCTGTTTTCAGTTTAACCAAGCCAATTAGTGAAAGTGTTGCCAAAATGCCTTGGTTGCCAAGAGCTTCAGGGTTAGATATTAAACCATAGTGGGTGGAACTCATCAGCGGACGCTTCTGTAGAACCAGGGCAGCAGGGTAAAGCAATGCTAAGTGATTCTTCATGCACAGGATTTCTCAGTGATAAATGAGCTGTATGCTGGGCTTTAACTCTGTCTGGGTGCCATGTGTAGTATGGACGGCTTCCTTGCTTCCTCCTTCCTCCATGACCTTTGCCAAAACCAAGTCTGTGTTGTCAAAGAGAATAACATCCTGGTGTTATCAGGTGAAAGAAACCACAGTGTGGGAAAGTCTAGAGTTTGCTTGGATTAGGCAACTCTATCCTTTGCTAACTGATTTAATCAGAACTCTGTGACAAGCTATGTGAGGTGAGATAAGCAAGGAGAAGGGGGATGCATAGCAAAACAGAAGTAAGCAGATCTTATTACGACTTTATTTCTGTATGAGAAGTGACTCTACTTTTTAAGAATAGGATCCCCTGGAGGCGGCACCATCTTGTTCAATTTTTATAAGAAGGAAATGCATTTGTGGTTCTCAGGGTGCAGAATTGGGCTCATTTTTGTTCTGCAGACTCTGCTGGGGGCTTGAGATAGGAGTTCCATGAGCAGGGCGTTTGTGATCAGGGCAAATTACCACTAACGTAAGATTTCAGAATTGGTTTTTGGCTGGTCAGTCAGTGGCAGAAGTGTTCTGGACATGCCCAGAAGTCTGGGTGCACTTTTTGCATTTACCTTGCTTCTTTGAATTTGGCTCTGAATTTATGATCTCTTCTACAGGTAAAGCTTGTTAGTATTGATGCAGCAGAAATAGCAGATGGAAATTCCTCTCTGGTTCTTGGACTAATATGGAATATAATCTTGTTTTTTCAGGTAATGCAACTTGAATACTCTAATCATGCGTCAACAATCTTCCTAATATCAATCTATTCCAGCTGAACACTGCTTTTCAAATTTATTTTTCATCCTAAAGAACATAATTAAACATGTCAAACCTGAGCTTTTGCCTCCTAATTTTATACCTGCAGCTGTTTCATTTTACTTCATTTGAACTATTTTGGTGTAAATAGGAAACAATTTAAGCCTTTGTTTCACTTGGACCAGAATTAGAGCTTCAGATTACCACTTTCCCTTCTCTCCTGCGCTTTGTCAGGGTTCTGTTCCAGATTCCCTGGATCTGAACCAATGTCTTGGGTTTGGTTCCAGGTCACAGTTTATTTTCAATAACCTTTTCTAGATTTGGTACAATGTGGTGGGAAATTCCGTGTAGAATCACTGATCTCTGGAGGCTTACTCAACATGGCAAAAATTTGAAACTGATGTATGATACGGAGAAAACTCCAGGAACAAACTTGCCAACAAAGTTTTCAAGCTGACAAGCAGGTATTCTTTATTGCAGCGCCGGGAGACATGGGGGATAGCTCCTCCTAATGTGTGTCTCCCCACTGCCACACAAGCCATCCGCTGGGCATACATACATATTCATGAGGCTACGTATGGATTACATAATTTTCCAGAAAGTTCCCCGCATGCGTACAGAATTGTGGTGGTGGTCTCTGAGGGTCGTTTACTTCTTCCAACAATCTTCATCACTTCTGGCAGCCTTTGAAGCATGTGCAGTAGATGCTCATACCAGTTTAATTGGTTCCTTAGCGCCAGAGACATAATAATCCTCCTATCCTCCTACTTATCAGTTAGTTTAACTGTAGCCCATCCTGGACACCTGCGTTTCCCAGAAACTCCTTATCCCTGTGTCCTGTTCTTCTAGACTGTTTTTCTTAAACTATGTCACAACTATAATGATTTATCTTGCGAGAATTCTCAGTATGTTCTCTAGCTGTACTCTATTTTTTTCTCTATGTATCATGCACCTCAGTAATTTTCCATTGCTACTGTTACAAAGCCATCAAACTTAACATTACTTAAATCTAATTCTAAAGGTTTCTATATTCCATTTTGTGATTTTGTGCCCCCTTGTTTCATGTCGAAGACCAAATGAAAGATCTTGAAGGGCCTGGAATTGATAAAACTGATTTGAGCTTGAAAATTGATTTAGCCCCAGGCTTAGATTAAAACTGGTCTATAATCTACATGTATTTTGAAAATTACCTTCTAGATAATACTAAATTGTAATGAACAGAGAGAGATGGTGGAAGGGTTCTGCAACTCTTGTAAGGCAGTGAGGCTTTTCATTCTCTTTCATTTAAAAAATGGCAATAGTTTAAAAATTTATCTCAAAGTTGCACTGGGGTTTCTCTCCCTAGCTGAGCTCCTCAGGCTGAACAGTGCTGCACAGCACCAGTTTGGCCAGACGGAGTCACAGGCAGGGATGCTGTGATCAGAATCTGCTGTGTCAGCAGCAGAGGGCACGAGGGACCTAAGAGCAGCAGAGTTGATAATTTGGAATCAAATGTCAATGCTGACCAAGGACAGGAGTGCTGCTGCAGGTCACCATTTCCTAACTAAAAATATTTCAATCAAGCAAGACCTGTGGAGAGAACAATTTCAGTTAAATATTTTTGTCAAGGACATTGTCTCTGTGCTTTTTAATGCAAGTTCGCTCAGTTCAGCCTGCACTGGTACTTTGCCCTTTCTGTTTCCTGGGGTGGGCAGCTGGGCTGCTGCTGGCTGTCACGCCTGTGCGATGCAAGTTGGGCAGGTCTATAACTACCTCTTAAAATTCAGTTATGTCACTGTCATCTTTAAAGTTTTCATGAGAACAAGCACCGAGTTCTCTATGCAGCCACTGTTAAACAAGAACAATGTGTGTTTTGCCTTTTATTGCAGATTAAGGAGCTGACAGGCAACCTCAACAGGAACTCCTCCTCCTCCAGCCTGTCCTCTGGGCCCAGTGGTCCAGAGTCAGACACATCCCACCCCAGCACTCCTAGCGTGGAGAGAAACATGTTCATTACAGTGAAGGATCAGCGGAAAGCCATCAGAGCCCTTTTAATCTGGGTACAGAGGAAAACCAGAAAGTAAGCTAACAAACCCATGTGCAAAATCCTGTTTTGCCACCTGCCGTCTTGAAGCTGAATCTTTCTTCTCTTTCCTTTCTCTTCCTTCTCTCTTTTCCCCGTGTGTGTGTTACTGTGCACGGTGGCTTCTTCTGCTTTCTAAGTTTGGAGGTGCAGGGTCTCTGCAGGGGGGTATTACTGCTATTACCATCTGACAGCAGCCATCTGACCCTGAAGCTGTGTGCGCTGCTGGCTTAATGATTTGAGCGTTAAATGTTAACTTGCACGACTCTGCTTGGCACTGTTTAAAACAGGATCGTTCCCTCCTCCTCCTGCTCCCTGGCTTTCCTGCAGTCTTTTTGATATCTTTCACTAAGTAAAGGGTAGGCACAAACAAGGGGTGAACTGAAAAAACAAGTATATTGAAAGGTTTCAGCAACAGCCTTTTAAATTAAGTGGCAGACCCAAGGCAGCCTCTTGTGTGCTGCAGAGTGCCTTGAAGGACAGAGTCGCTATTAAAGTCGCTCTTTCCTCAGAATTAGAGAGGGGAAGGGGGTGAATCTTGAGTCGCTTCTCATGAACATGTAATATTTGGATCCATTTCCATCGCTCAACCTATCTCTCTATAATAAAAAGGCAGTTCTTTCACCAAAGCATTTTGTATAGTAATACTTTAACCTGGCAGCATTAGATTAAAAAACATTAATGTAAGATGTCTAGCACACGTGTAAATGCCTAGAATGTATTTTATATGTATTGTTATTGGGGGCGACGACTGCCAGAAAGTATTAGAGAGGGCATGGGTCAAACTTACTTGTAAGTTGGATAGCTGAACATTTGGCATTTTTGTCTGTTCATGGATTTTTACGTCCAAATCTGTCTATGAACACAAATGTTCTGTGTCTAGTATTGAAAATACAAATCTACATTTTAAATACTTGGTCCTGCAGGTCACATAATCCCTTGGTTATCTTCAGTGAAGCTAAGGGTGCTTGTTGTGCAAATAAATCTGTCCCATCAAGATCCGTAGTTCACTGCTGCCAGTGCAGACCATAAAGAAACCACAGGTTTAGTCCCAAAATAATGCTGATACTGTCATTAACAAGGAGGTGGTACAAGGAGAGTGAGGACGAAATAAGTAAAGGCCATAGGCTTTTCAGTTCAGACAAAGAGTACAAATTGAAAACATAGGAGAAAATTGTTCTTGCAACTTCACTATTAAAAGGTCTGCATAAGTTGAAAAACTCTTCTGGAGGCTACTTGTAGTTCCAGACAAACCAAGTTCACCATCATTATAATCCTGCTATGCAGTGATCTGTGCAGAAGTTTCTGTTCTGCGGCTGTACTTCATTGCAAGTTTGACAGTTGTTTTTTCCTCCAAAACTTTGAGCATCTAACACACTCGTGGTTTCTACATATACTGACACCATTTGCATTTGGCAAAGCAGAGTTTGCTGCTGTAGAAGGCCAAGTACACAAGAATGTGAATCATTCATGCTTATGTTTTTAAGTATTTAAGTATTGGCAGTCTTCCCAAGCTATGGTATTAAAATGCTGGAGAGCAACAGAAACAGGAATCACATAGACATTTGGTTTTGTGAAAGTTAAATGTGGTTGCTGAGTTCTTGAGGGCTTTGTATTTACTAGCTGTTTCCTACAGGCAGGTTGATGTCAGCTGTTGGCCACGTTGATCCAGTTTGTGAATCCGTGTGTTTTATGATGGTATTTTGTGTGTTTCAAAATCCAAAAAGATCTCAGATGTGACTAGTGCAACTTCAGCAACCTTAATTCTAACCTTCAGGAGGCTTTGAAAATGATGATGCCTTTTCTTTGGATTTCGTAACACAACCATCCATGTGAACCGTGTGTAATTCTGTTTAGGTATGGTGTTGCAGTTCAGGACTTTACAAGCAGTTGGAGGAGTGGTCTTGCTTTCTTAGCTGTCATAAAAGCAATAGACTGTACTTTGGTAGACATGAAGCAAGCACTGGAGAAATCAGCTCGAGAAAACCTGGAGGATGCTTTCATCATAGCACAAAACAAGCTGGGTGTTCCTCGGCTCCTAGAACCAGAAGGTAAAATGCCTACATCAACCTTGTTGGGTAACATTCAAGCTATAATGAATTCATGAATATTGTGTTGTGATACCTACCAAAAACCTCCCAGTGATTAGGCTGTTGACATGATCAGTGTGTTAGGCTGATTGATAAGAAAAATAAAAAAGAATTGGTACTGGCTTGTAGTTGCATGCTTCCAGTCATGTTTGTAAACTACTTGGGAGCAGAGATCTTGCTACAGTTTTAGTTGGGTATGGTGGTCTTGGTTAATGTTTAGATGCTATGTGACATCTGCATTACTAGTGGACATTAATCCCCACCCTGTTGTGCTGAGAGGTGTCTCAATACATGAGCACTGTTTTGTAAGACCTACAGTCTGCAGACATTAAACGTCACTCCAGGATGAAGGGTATCAGTCTGCCATACCAGGAAAATGGGTAGATACCTATTCAGATGTGTTTTCATCTCCTGATTTTTCCTTTACAATGCATACACACACACACATATATATATGTAAATATATGTGTGCGTATATGTATATAAATGAAGCTTCTTGCAGTGTTTTTTACTGAACTGTACTAGACAGGTATTAGGCCTTGCTTTTATGACTGAAAGCAAAGATTGGTTATGTGTGCTTTCATGGGTCACCTGTAAGGCGACTGGGCCATCCTGCTAAAAATAAACCTCTGTGCTGTCACTCAACAAGATCACTGTCTAGTGACAACAACATAAATGACAGTATGAAGATGGATGAAAAGGGACCCTGATCAGGGTTTGGTACGTGTTTGGAAGCAGGAAAAAATTGGTAAGAGTAAGACATTGAGAACTCTTTCGAGTACCATCAACAGTGAAAAGTACTTCTTTTATCTGTCAGAAAAGTGTTTGTAACTGTTTCTTTCATCATGAAGGCAGGATAAATGTCTGATGATCTCTTCCTCTGCAAGAATGTTTTAGAGCCATGTGTGCTTAAGCACCTTGTGTCTGTCTCCATAGATATTATGGTGGAATCACCCGATGAACAGTCAGTTGTGACGTATGTGGCGCAGTTTCTGGAACACCTCCCGGAGCTGGAAGCGGTATGTGTTTATTCCTACATCATGCCATTTTTTTTAATTTGCTTTGGTGTACTTAATAAAGTCAGATATTGCTGTATTTATCTTCTAGGTTTCTATTTAAAATAAACCACAAACTCAGGTTTAATTTTTCACAATTTTGTTAAATCCAGTCAAATGGCCTTTCATTGGTGATTGCTAAAATGCTTTATGTCGAATTGTGCTTTTAAACATTTACATGCAATTATAACTTTCAGAAGTTAAACCTGGTTACATAGGGTTCTGCTATTTTGCTGTATTAGTCTTAAATAAGGCTGAATTTTATCCCTTCATCTATGATGATTCATTGGACTTTGAATTTCATTTAGACTTCTAGCTTCTCAAGTTTGAGGACCACAATCAATCTGAATTTATCCAATATCAGAGACAAGATACCAGAGGCTGGATCTTGTCAGTGCAGCAGTCAAAGCCCTCACTGTTAGCATGAAATACATTGCAGCTTAAAGGGCCAGGACTTCAATGCAGACTTTATCAGAAACAAAGAACTGAGTAGTAAGTAGGGGCTGACAGTGTCAGGGATTGACAAAGGTCTTTTGGAGAAACAGAGGGTAAATTTACAAAAGAATTAAGGGATAGGAGACAGATAATGCAAATTAAAATGGGAAGTCCCAGGAACTGGGGAAAAGGTCTGCATAAGTTGAAAAACTCTTCTGGAGGCTACTTGTAGTTCCAGACAAACCAAGTTCAACATAGTCTTTTTGGTTTGAAAGGATCCCTAAGGGACTCAATGTCCTTCTACTATCTGGGTAAGTTTGTTGCTAGAGTATATGCACATAAATGATTGCTCCTGCATGAAAGGCATTTCCTCTCCTTTCTTGACTGAAGGTTCCAGTTGGTATGAATTTTGTAGTTTATAAAATTGGTGGGCATTACTAAAGTCACTGGAATTAAAATTATTACAATAATCTAATTACTATTTTTAGATTAGATGAGCAGTAAGATTTGTTGGCATGAAGTCTTGTGGGCATATTAATGGACAAAGAAAAAGACTACATTTTTAAAATACAGTATATTGGAATGGAATTAACTACTCTATTAATATATTTCACAGTGAATTTAGTGGGCTTGTTAGATTTATTTTATTCCCAGGGTTTGGGATTGTTTCAAAAGGCCATGTCAGTTGTCACTACAGGTGCAGCAGGGAGAGATGAATACATTAAGAACTGAGGAGTAGCCTTGTCTGCATTCTTATCTTCCTGTACAAGTGGCTTCTTGACGCTCAGCTTTGTTCAAGCCTCTTGACTTGCCAAATTGGTTTCTCTACTTTCACAATAAGTGAGTCATGAATTGGCCATTCACAAGGTAATGGGATGATGGGCTAAGCAGTTTTTCTTCCTGTAGTGTTTGGGAAAAGTAAAATGGTATCTGAGGTATGATTTGTCTTTTAATGGTGTATCATCACTTGTAGGAGGACTTTACAGATCCTGACAAGGAGCTTCCAATTGAGTCCACATATGTTCACATCAAAGACACACTATCAGAAAAAGAAAGTAAAATCTTGATTTTAAGTGAAAGTGAAGAAAACATGTATACTGTTAATCACGAAAGGAGTCATCCTGCTCCTCCAAAGGTTCATATTCATGATACCTCTGAGAGAATCCTGTCAGAAACTGTTTCTGAAAAATGCAATGGGAAATTGAATCACATGTCAGGTGATTCCCAGGAAACGTTTGAAGAGGAGCCTCAGAGGCCTACCTCACTGAAAATTGCAGGATCTGTCAGTTTAGAATCCAGTTCCTCTTGGGAGGTTCTAAGTGACAAATTCACACCAGGTGAAGGAGGCATGTCTGATGATCCACTGAAACAGAATGATGACCTTTCTCCAGCTGTTCTGACAGATCAGAAAACTTCTGTTGACTCTTTCGAAGACTACTCTGAAGAATTAACTGAAGAAACCTCTACTGAATATGACAATGAAACTAAGAGCCTTTCAGCCAATACTTCTTTAAGTCCATTATCTTCGACTTCAGGTATACTTACAGATGAATCTATAAATAAGATAGAAGAAAGCAAACCCCAGACTTCTGTTCTTTTACCAAAAGATACCTCAAAACAAGAAGATACACGTAAGTATGTTCTTCATCTTCTAAATGAGGAAATACTGAATATTCCACAAAATGAGCATACAGAGCAATCACCTACCTTTGAGACGATAGAAACTAACCATTGTTCACTGAATGGTTCTGACCTCAAAAGCCAAGAATTATCTACACAGCATGAAACATCTGATGACTCTCTCTCAGATGTACCTAAAAGTCCAGAGGATCTGGACAGCTGTGATGAAGTTGAGTCTTCAGCTGAAGTGCTGCCAAGTTCTTCGAAAGTATCTGTAATACCCCATGATCTCTTTTATTATCCACATTACAATGTTCCCATATCAGCAGTTTTGAACGCTTACCTTGAGCCCTGTATTGAAGATTATGATGCTGGAAATGATAAAGCTTCTTCTGAAACAGTAAGAGATGTTTTACACAAGAAGGTCTTACCAGAAGAGGACCACAAGGAAGATGCTCCAGAGACAGACTTAGGGAATAAGCCAGATGTCCCTTCATCCGAAACAGAAAGTGAGAATGGCAAGGAGGAAACAACAGATATTAACAGTCACGTGAATTCTTCCAGTGAAAAGGGAGTGCCATTACTAGTAGAAGAGTTAGAAACTGAAGAAGATGGCAAAAAGGTCACCAACCATCGAGATTCCACTATTCTACAGCATCCTGAGGTTTTTTATTTTTTGTTATTACCAGTGTTTCTTTGTGTGTATATGGGGGATTCACATCTGACTTTAGTGGTTTTCATTTGTTTTAATTTTGCCACGTTTTGTAGAAATATGTAACATATACTTGGTTTCCTGTCCCGTAACTCTGTTTGCCACAGCCCTCTACTGGAATGAGTGGAATTGCACATCCCTGGGAAGTTCTGATATTGAAAGATAGAGTAATTCCTAATATTAAGAGTACTGCAAAAAATGTGAATTTTAATTATAATTAAAGTAGTTTGAGGCTCCTGTATAATACTTACGCACAAAGATTACCACAAAGGTATTTTAATAACTTGTAATGAGATGAACAGAAAGTAACATTGCTGATGTAGAATATAGGCAAAGGTAGTTTTGGGCTGAATCCAAATAAATTTCCCTACAAAAACTTAAACTAATTTGAGTAGGATAAATTACATGGGTAAAATGAAGGCTTTTCTATACTGAAGGAGGAGGATGGGAGATTTTTGGTAACTATTCAGTATATTGGATTTAGGCAGCTGTTCTTGCAGACATTTACTGTGAATTGTCTTACATGTTTTCCAGTGTAGTAATTTTAGATAGTGTTGTTTAGGAATGAGTGTCTATTTGATGTTACTCTATGTGTTGCGTAGACGTGCTGGGCATGTTCTGGTCCTGACACTTACTAGAGTAATGAAGTCAGTCAATTTGCAGTTAGCTTCAAAGATTCAGGATAGAGTTAAAAGTTTTAGCAGATTACTTCAAAGAGCCATGTCATGTCATGATTCCTTACATAAAAAAGAACTTACAACTAATTGTATGTATGTTGAACTGATGATGCTTTATAGCTGCATATATCCAAAATGACTTTCAAGAAATGAATTGCTTTTTGTTTTCTTTCAATCTTGTACTACATGCAATTTAGCATCTGAGTAGGCTGCACCACTAAAATACTTGGAAAAGTGGGGAATCAGTGTTGTTGTCTAATGCAAAATGTTTCTTAATTCCAACAGGACATAGTAGAATATGTAGAGGATTTATCAATAGACATAAAGAGATCAGAAGAAAGGAGTAATGGGGAGGAAGAAGAGGAAGACATGATAGAAGAAGAAGACTTGCAAATCTCAGAAGCTTCCACAACTATTCTGTCACAAGATAAACTGGAAGAAATTGCTGTTTGTCAGGAATTGACCAGGTATTTCACATTAACTTTGTCTTAAATGCACCTAACTGGTATGAATGCCTGGTCTTTTGGAGTGTTCCCTGTCCGCTGGATGTTTCTTGTAGGCTTCTCTTAGGAGCAGTGTACTGGGACTCATTGGCTTCTTCCTCTGTTTCTCTTAAACATGTTGAATGATTTATTGCCAATGGGACTTGATTTGAGTTTTCTATGCAAACTTTGTTACACAAAACCCAACTGGAACCCCATGCATTTTGAACATGGCAGTGTTACAACTGTTTTTCCAACAGAAAGAGTTTTTTGTAACATAGATGAAATAATCTATGTGTATTATGACACTATGAAGAAGCGTAACACTGCTTCACTCCAACAGATATTTGTTAGAATTTTTTTCTGTCTGTGAACAAGTGAACAGCCTTGTGGTAGACTGACCTTGGCTGGCCACCAGGTGTGCACCAGCCCACTCTCTCTCCCCACCCCCATCAGGATAGGAGGAGAAAATAAGGCGAAAAACTGATGGGTTGAGGTAAAAGCAGTCTGCCTCATTACCTGATGAAAAAAGCAAAGGCCACATGTGGAAGCAAAGCGGAAGGAGACAAGAAAAAAAAAATTATCTACTTCCAGTCAGCAGGCAGTGTCCAGCTACTTCCTGGGAAGTAGAGCCTTGACAGTCACAGTGGTTGCTTCAGAGGACAAACGGCCTTAATAACGTGTGTGTGTCCCTCTGCCAGCTTACTCTTTTCTCTTAGTTTCAGTTGCTAAGCACAGCATCATATGGTACGGAATATCCCTTTGGTCAGTCATGGTCAGCTGTCCCTGTCGTGTCCCCTCCCAGCCTCTTGCCCAGACTAAGCCTACTGGCCATTGAGGCAGGGGGTTAGAGAGACAGCCGAGGTGCTGTTCAAGCAGTGCTCAGCAATAGCTGAAACATTGGTGTGTTATCAGCACAGTTCTAGCTATAAATACAAGCGCTACACAGGGGCTGCTATACTGAAAGTTAACTGCACCCCAGCCAGGCCCAGTAAAGTTAATTTTACTCCATTCTTCTGTTCCCTCTTACATTTTAATTTAGTTCTTAGGTAATGTATTCGAGTGGGACATGAACTGTAATTTGTTGATGCGTATCACTGTGGCAGTCTAATGAATTTGAGAGAATTAGAAAAACCCACTGTCTCCTTCAAGCTCTCTGTTCCCTACAAAGTCTGTCAGTTCTTTATTTATAGACATCCATAAAACCTGGGGTATATTCTCACTTAGATGTCAATGATGTCAAAGATGGAAGAACCATATCAGATACCATTTTTCAGAAAAGATTGCAATTTGAGCATATGGATTTTTTATTGTGGGTTAGATTTCCTAAAGCCATTTTTTATATTACTGATAAATTCAAGTCCATATTCTAATACATGCTACAGTGCATGTTTGTGGTTTTGCATAGTTTGAAACTAGCATGTGCAATTGCAGTGGCTGTCTTTGAACTACAAACAAAACTTAGCTTTATGAATTTAAAAACTTTGCTTTTACATACATTTCAGAACCAGTGATGGTGATTCCAACATTTATCTCCGAAAAAGATCTCCGAATACTTCTGAGGAGGTAAGTGTGTGAAATCTGCCTATCGCTGTTTCTATATTTCTCTTAAACTCAAAAAAATTCACATACTGGAAAAGAGTCTACTCTATATAGAAAGCTCTGTAATAATACAAAGCCGTGTGACTTCTAATAATTTTAGTGCCAAAACCAGGCATAGCTGGAAAGCTTTACTGAACTCTCCTAAATATATGGAACTGAACCTTATTGAACCTTGAACAAACCCACAAAGAAACAGCTAATACTACAATTAAGTGTATTGTAACTTTGAGGCTTAATTTGTCCTAACCACTTTGCTTCTTTGAAGCTGCCTTGATTTGCTGCTCGAATTTTGTTTTGTTTGTACATTCTTTGCATGTTCGACAGTGTGCTGGTCACAGCCCTGCAAAAATGCTGAGTGTCTTTTGAGGTGTACTTTTTAATGAAAGATTGGGCTCTTTCCCTTTCCTTCACAGTAGCGCTGTATTATCTCAATAGGAGCTGCTAACCCTAGAAGAATTTTGCTTGTAATGTGAAACTGCATCCTCAATGGCAGATGTAATTCATACTGGTTTCTTGAGAACACACTATACAACTGAGCTCTGGAGTTTCTATTTTCTAAATCAGAAGGGAGGGACAGCATCAGTAATCCAGATATGCTCAGCATGGATAGGAATATGGCTCTTTTTGGCACAAAATAAAACTCTGAGCATCCCAATGTTCAATGAAATGGAGATTTCACATAGATGCTTTAGTTTTGCAGTGCTGTCAGAGCTACTGACATATATATGAATGAGGAAACCTTTTCAGATGAATGAAAGCACTTGAAAGGAAAAAAACAATCTTATTTCACATTTTTTTCCAGTTCTGTGTGTGACCCAGACTGCAGTGGTAGATGTCCTGGCAGGGAATAAATTTATAAGCACACTTTTAATTTATTTGAGCAGAAGTTAGACTTACTGTGCATAAAACACACACACACAGTTACCATCTTTGTGAGATGCTGATTTATTTATTTTTTTATATAATCTATTCCTGTTTTGTTTAAGGAAACCTATGGTGTAAACGAGCAGAAGATGACAGGTATTAGTGAAGATCCATTGATCATCAGGTGAGTGGTTCTTATTCAGAGAAGCCTTTTGCATGGAATCCATAACTACTAGGTACTTCTAACAATGCTACAAAAGGATATTACCTGTAATGGTAGAGATTGACTTCATGTCTTGTGTAATGGCTCAGAGCCCATATTTCCCATAGGTATAAGGTACAAAACTTCTTTACTGCTTGATCTCCCCCTTGGCTAAAATGCTTTATCTTGACTTGAGAGGAAAGCTTCAGCTGTCTAAGCAAGATTGTCAGCACTTTCCCCACATGGTGGATATTTCAGACAAAGAAAAGTGGGATGATTTCAAATGTGAGGTCTTCAGACAGTGATGACTCTTTCCTGGTTTGGAAGACTGTCTAGACAGTGTTTAGTGTGGTCAGTGCTAAGGAAATACAATACTTCAGTGGAGTTCTGGCCTCTGTTAGAGCACACATGAGTTTTTATAATTTGTATGTGTGTTTAGTTTAGATTTAGGGTGATGGATCCTGCATGCAGAATGTCTGTCCCTTTGGTATTAGGACTTACATATCTATAAGAAAAAAGGATTGCTTTAGATTTCCCCTCTCAGCTGATACTGGTTAGTACCTCCCAGAACTTCTAGTTAAAATAATGGTTGCATTAAATGCAGAAAACACAGAAAATATTATTGGGATCCAGCATCCTGGTCTCACTTATGCTTCTGTTAAAAAAAAACAAGCATGAATATGTGTCACAGTTATGCCTGTTTGCAGACTGCTGATATCGAGCAAGTGTTTTGCAATACTCAGGTATATATCCAGTATAACAGCTGAGCAAGTAGGATGCCCCAAGCCAGAAAAAAGGACTCATTAAAACATGCAAAAACCAGTTTTCTCCAAAAGTAGATTTACAAAAAGTCTACCAGAGGGTGATCCCTATAGTATTACAAAATCATAAAATGAGTGTACCATCTTGTGCCTTTTTAAGTCAGTCCTTTTCTTGCCTTTGTGAGAGCTCAGTGGGCTGACAGAGTCCATCAAGCTTTGCCCTTATGAAACGCACCTGGAATTTTGGAAAGCTGGAATTCTGGAGTTGTCCTGCAAAACCCCAACTGCTAGTTGGTTTCTGGAAGCCTTAGTTTTACTTTTTTTTAATGTTCTGGTGTCTGACATGGGTACCTCTGAAAGTAGATGGCTTCAGGAAAAGGTATCAAGTCAGATATAGTGTATGAGTATTGTGAAAGTGTGGTATGTGTTGCCCACAGCTATCTTTACTGTTCTGGATATAAAAGGCATCTTTTTAACTGATGGAAATCACCTTAGATCAAACAACTGTACTGTAACAGCATGTATTTAAAATACCTGAGAATTTGTCTGGGATTCTCAGAGGATTAATGGCTATGTACATTGGCTCCTAAGAGAGCACACTGCTGAAGCCCGTTATGCACTTTCTAGTCTAGCTTGGACACCAACTGACTATACTGAAATGGTTCATTAAAGGGATGTCTTTTACTCGGCCTTTGATCTTTACACTAAATATTAACAGTGAGAGGAGTTTTCTTCTTTTCCCTGCATTTTACCAAATTCTCTCCTGTTTTCAGGAAGAAAAAGGACTTGGAAGCAAGTGAGACTCCAGCACCAACTCATGAAATTACAATTGTTGAGCAGCCAGAGCTATTCTACTTCATCATTTTCTTCTGGGTGCTGGCCTACTGCCTTTTACTCCTTCCACAGCTTCTTAGCAACAAAGTTTGAGCTCTATGATGTGTGAAAAAGTAATAGATGGTGTCTGGATTGCTTTGTGTATCTGCATATGAATATGTTCCTTCGGGTGAAGCACAAACAGAAATGTAGGACCTGGTATTTGTGTTTATTATCAGGCTGTCCTCAACTCCTCTACTGTTGTGCTATGACAGTGTCTTGGCACATTTTATATTATGATAATTGTGTAAATATATATAAAAATTACCTGATTTAGTAGATGCAATTTTGTACATTTGTGCCTTGCTTTATAAGATGCTAAATAAAACCAGATATTTATCAGTAGAAATATAAACAGTTCAGAGCTCTAGTCTTCAAAAATTGTTCTTCTGGCTTCATTTGCTTATGTAGGGCCTGACAGCTGTGGAAGAGGGGTAGTGTTGACTTGCCCATGAATCAGGCCACCTGAATAGAAATGTTTTATCATGTTTTCCGTGAAATTCTTTGAGAGACCTAGAGGCAGAGCGGAGCTGCAGGTGGTGGAACACACCCCGAGAATTGATTACAATTCCAGTGGCAATCCAGTGGAGCAACAAAATCAGGTTAAGGGTTTTATTTGGGTAGGGGAGTTTGGGTTTTTAGGACTTAAATTGATTTTTATTCTGCACCTTCTGTTATGTTTAATTTGCAGGAATAAGTTGGGTGTAGAGAAGTGTGAAGAACATACATGCTACCTGCTTCTTAGGGAGGGATCATATGGGAAATCTTAGCCCAGAAACTTCTGTAGAGAACACCTGAAGAAATAGATGTTTTATATGTTACTGATGGCCATCTTTGGGAAGATGTTCAAGAAGCTTAATAATATATCAGGAACAGATACCATGGGTTTTAGGGTTGTTTGTTTTTTTTTTTTGTTGTTGTTTTGGGGTTTTTGGTTTGGGTTCTTTTTTATTTAAGCACCTCACTGCTTCTGGGGCTGCTTCTGCTTCCTTTTCTCTGCTGCTTTTATTTACCAGATATGTGAAGACTTCTCTTTCTTGATGATACAAAAAATAATAGGTAACCTAATTTGCTGAGGCTACTGTTAAGTCGCAAGTGCATGGTAAAAGGATCAGAAATATCCCTTGAGTGCTAAAGTCAATAGAGAAAAAAAAATACATATGTAAAACAAAATATGGAGAAATGTTGACAGCCGGTATTGACTTTCTAGTGCAATTGAATAGACTGCTATGGCTTGTCCATGGACACTGTTGAGCCACTTCTGCGTCTTGTAATTTTTTCCACATAATGATCACTTTAGGATAATTTGATTTAGGATTTTTACCAGAGAAGGTGTACCCATGCATTACAGGATAAAAGAGAAGTTTTCAAATTCAGTTTAATAGCAGTAACTTTTCTCTGTGTGACTTACAGTGAAGTCATAGTTTTGCATCAGCACATTTTTAGTTTCATAGTATGCTTTATGAGACCACATCGTGTTGCTGCTTCCCCCTGAAAATTCATTAGGTTAGTTGGACTGTGCTTCATAAAATGAGAGGCTTCATAATTTACACTGTGAGAAATTTAGAACATATGCGTAGAAGTTTTACATATTTTGGTTTAGCATAAGGTGCATCTCTGCCCTGGCTTAGTTTTCAGCTAAAGTACCTGGGACTGGGACACATCAGATATATAGCAATTTATTTGCAGGTATTTAAAACCTGTTTGTAGTTATGTTACCTGCTGGGGTAATCCTAACTGTCCATCACACTTCATTGTTCTTTATAAGCTTTTTGTTTCCCTGGGATTTTTCTTCCAAGTTAGAATTCAGTAGCAGCAATGCATGGCAGGGGATCTTGAACACTGAAGATAAAATTCTGATCCTCTTTCAGTCAATATAAAACTGGGATCTTTCCTATTTTGCCCTGTCACTGTTGACTAGAGATTAAAAATCAGATCTTTTGTGCTTGTTAAGGAAGAGAGCCAAACTTCCCAACTTAATTCAGTGTAAATCAACATAAGTAAAAAAAAAAGTTTTTCATTTTGCTGATGAAAATTTTCACTATTTTGAGTAATCTGATTTTGTGATGCATGAACCTGTTTGTGCTTGTTGAAGACGACAGTGCTACTTTCTTCCAAAAGAAAACCTTACTAGAATTTTTCAAGATGCTTTCTTGAAGTAGGCTAAAATATAACATTTGAAGGGCCAGTACTTTTTCTCTGAAAGAATAAAACTTAATACAAGAAACTTTATATCCTTAATCTGAAAACCAGTGAACACCAGGCTGAGGTACAGCAGCTATTTAATAGCAGCAAGTAGCAATGTATGTTAGTTCAGAGCAAAAGCATTGACAGCTCTTCATTATTTGCCACTCTTCAAAGGCTCATTTCATTTATGACAAATTTTTCTGAGCCTTTTTCTTCTTTCTGAGCCTCTCTGGTTCTTCCATGTTTCTTAATCTTCAGCAGAGATTATCTGGGGTTAGATTACAGACTCTTCGTGGAACTTTACAGCTATCAAAGTTAATCAAGTAAGATCCCTTCTGTCTTCTTCTTGCTATGAAAATGAATCAGAATGAAGAGGTCTTTGGCTGTCTCATCTGAACAACTGTCATCCGTAAAGAATGAAAAAGCGAATGGGAATGCACTGATGCTGGCAATTTCATTACACCGTATTTTCTTCCAAGAGGGAGAAACAACAAGGTTTTCTTTCTTACCTCCCACTGATGAACAGTGACTGAAACAGCAAAATGAGCAGTTTAAATGTCAAACAGCATCCAGCAATTGTCTTGATCATCATCTCCCAATATTTAAACTCATGTACGCTTTCCAGCCTATCCCATTAAGAAATGGAGATTGTTTCTTCCATACAAAATAGATCAAAAAAGTACTAAATTGGTCCACAATTTGGACTGAAAGTTGCTTTCCATATTTGGGGTTGTTTGTGGTTTTGCTATAACAGAGGCAGTGGACCTCACTCAGCTCTCCCATAGGTAAGGATATCCAGGGTAAAGAGTTAAGATTGATTATACTGGTATGCTCAACTGTGCATAAGAAGAGACTGTACTCTTCATGAGTTTTGCCATTACTTTGCACTGCAAAAATGGCATCTGCGTAAACAGCAGCTTCCCCCACTTACATTGACTTGTAAGCCTGCATTTCTTCCACAGTGCAAGATCCAGGCCCTGTGTAAGTGCCCTATTCTGAAAACATTTCTTGTTGTCAAACTTTGTGTCCTATTCTGAGCTAACAGTCTAAAAGCCTGATTGTTAAGCATTCACTACGGCAAAGCCTATTTTAACTTGCTGGCTAGAGGACTGGCTTGAAGTAGTGCAGGTTTTAAAGACTGGTGGATGAACCATCATCAATCCATTTTCCATAACATACATTTGAATAAGGAAGTTTTTCCTGTATTTTTGTCTGGGTTTTTGGAAAATGCTGAACTTGAACTGACTGCATTTGGTATTTTGATTTAGCATCAAATTCAGATACACAAGGGTACTGATCTGTTACAACTGTTTCTAAAATCCATTGTTGTTGAAGAAATGTGTGGGTAGCAGAGTATTGTGAAGTGTGTCAGGAAGTGCTTGAGGATCACTGGATAAAGAATTGTGTTCACAGAAGTGCCATTAAAGACTGAGACAACTATGCTGGATGGTTCAATGTTATTGTAGTCATGTAACTTAACTGCAAAATGTCTCATTGTGATTTTATTGGAAGTGCAAGGAAAATATGCTATTGAAGACAGAACCCTGCTAAAAATTATGGGACAGATGTCTTAGAGTTCAAGAAATAATTTAAACAGTCACATAATCTACAAAAAATTGAACACAGCCTTTGCCAAATTTTAGGAAATGATCAGTGCAAAGATAGGGCAAGCACAGATTACAGTAAAAAATGACAATCACTTTTCCATGCCATGAATATTTTTGATGGTTGAGCTCTAAAATGTATTTTTATTGAGTTTCTAGATTGTAATGAATGTGTCTACAGAATTTTATGCAAAGCTTGGGAGTTCAGCTGTTTAAAAATGATTTTTTATATGACTGATTATTTTATCTATATATTTAATAGTAATGTAAAACCATTTTAAGAGTAACTATAAAATTCTGTGTATGTGATATGATTATTTATTAATTACAACTTGTGAGAATGAACATTAAGCTATGCATCGATTGTGTCATCCATTTGAAAACTGGAACTGCAAATAGTAGAAGAGTTTCTAATGAACAGTAACTTGAAAAATGTGGGAAATGATTGAATATGATTGTGTGATTCTTAAAGCTGCATAGCAATATGTTATTTTGTGATACTAAGCTTTCAGCTACAGTTGCAAAGTATACTGAGTGATTAAGCTACTTTCTTCCATTAAAACTTCCTGAGGCTGAAATTTGTACCTGTTGGTATTTGGTGTCTAAATACACTTAAATCTTCTACATCTTCTGGAGACTCTCGGTTTACTCCAGCCCACTAGACTGGCTGTAACTTCTTTATGCAAGTAGTGTTCCACTGAATTTACAGGGGTACCATGCAATACCCAGTGATTCTGGTTTTTAGGGTTTTCTGCATCAATCCCCACAGAATCAGAGCTTTAGAAGATTAATTTGACCAATGTATTTGGGATCATACTCAGCTGTCTAACAAGATAATAGTTATAATAGTGCATTATCACTTATGCTGGCTTTAAGTACTTAAGAGTTCCTTCTTGCCAAGCGCAAACTTGAACGCATTTAGTGATGTGTTCAGCTCGTCTACTTCTGTGGAAGTCAGTGCAACACATCTGTGTGCTAAGCAGACACTACAGGATCTTTCCTCAAGGGAACTTAAACTGGGGTTGATAACACAGGCCAGGAAGTAGCTGTAGCCTCTGCATTGCCCTTAGTGCAGGATCCCCTCAAATCCAATGTACACACACAGTGCCAACGACTTCAGTTAACCCCAGTATACAAATAGCATTTGTTTGCCTAAATTCTGCAGGATCAACCCTCTCTTTCTTTTAGGAAGTTAACAGCTACTTCCGGTTTCTATTAAGAGAAGAGCAGCAGGGAACAAATGGCTGGAAGATTATGGTGAGGTTATAGGCTGGGATGTGGCCATTAAAGTTCCCAAACCTGTACAGCTGAAAGCTCTTACCTTGATAATAGTTTGCTTGCTGTTTTCCATTGAACTCATAGGTAGTGGACCTCAATAGAAGTAAAAAACCCTTAAGTTTTGTTATTTCCACACTGCAGGTTTTTTTTGTCAGGTAAATAACATCAAATTCTTCCCCTTGACATATCAGTGATAACACTAATTTACAGCTGCCCAACTTAGGATTGTTCACGTTCCAGGTCTGTATCTAAACAGGAGTTGCAGTATGGCTTGTTCCCACCCATGCCACCCCAAGATCACGAAGCTATTCATGCAGAGAATGAGGGGCAGATGTATGATTTGGAAATGATTTGGAAAAGTCACAGTCTGAATGTGATGGCTTGCTTATTCTGTCCATTGCTTGACATGACTCCAGAGCTAACAAAGGGTGAAAAATTAACCCTTTTATTTTCAAGTGCCATGTCCATTTCAGGGTTAACTAAAATTGTGGAACATCAAAATATTTCTTCTCTCCTCTAAATGTTATACATGGGAAACTTACTTCCACCTCAGTGCCACTTTTGATGACTCCTTTCCAGGCAGCTGCTTCTGCTGATATTGGAAAATGAGACCTGTAGTATTTTCTAACCATGAGGGGAATGTCTCTGAACATAAAATGGGCCCTCAAGTGATCAATATACTTCTTTTGTCATGAAAAGGTTAGAAGGAACAATACAAATAATTTTACTTCAGTGAGAAATACTAAAACCTACCATTCCAGAAAAGGATCGATCCTGCCCTCACTGCTGTATTAGTTCAGGTAATGTTTTATTCCCCAAGTAGTTTTATTACTTTCACTGGGCCTTCCTGGAATCTCCTTGATTCATGGAATAGATCTGCTCTGTGTCTGGGGACCAATTTGTACAGGGAGATCCTGATTAATGGCCATTATTAAGACTGTAAGAGAAAATCACTGCTGTTTACTTAGAAATTACCAGTTTGATTTAAATCAAGTCACTTTCAAATTCTATGCTGCTCATTTTCTTTGAGAGAAATAATGCAGTCACCTTTTTATGTCAAATAACACAGGTCAAATAAGTATATTTTTATTGTCATAAAAATTAGACTTCTTTTGTTTTAAATAAAACATTTTAGTAGGCATACCACTGTGCTATTGTATTCTGCTGTATAAAAAGCTGAATAAACTTTTTTACCCTTCTTGTTAAAGTTCTCCAGTTTAAAGTGTACTCTGGAATGCTAGTTTGCTAAAGAGCTAATGAGGGACTTCTTATCCTGGAGAAATAATTCATAAGGAATGTGGTATTTAAAATAAATGTTTCTCTTTGGCAAGTGGTGAAGAAGGATAGTTATTTAAATGAGAACAAATGCTTGGAGGATTTGAGTGGTACTAAAAGATATACTGAAGGAGATGCATTTTAATGTACTTTCAAATACATTTCTTCTGAATGCTTTCAGTCGGTATGTATTGAGTGTTTGCACTTTGTTGCTCAAAGCTAATTTTTGTGAGAAAGAAATATATTCTTCTGTATAGTTGGTACACTACAAAAAAAAATGTTTTTAGACACCATTATGACATAATAAGAATAGTATTTACTATTGAATAGTTCCAATTTATTTTATAAAATCTCCAATTTTGAAATAAATGGACAGACTTCCTGTATACGATCTGTTATCTGTGCTTTTGTCCTTTTCCTCATGAGAAAACATCTTCAAACAGTTCAGAAGAGATCACCATTTAGTTCTTATTTAAAAAATAAAAATTATTATTAATAATGTAATAATAAATTACATTTTTTGTATTATGTATAGTACATACTTCATATATTATATTGGGTTTTATTCATTTTCATGCCCAGAAATATTTCTCACTTTTTAGCTGAGAAGATCTTAGTAAGTAAACACAGCAAATTCATAAAGTGCATTGGTTTTCCACTTACCCAGAAAGTGACTTTTAATATTGGGAAGAATCTAAACTTTTATTCCAGACAACAAACAGAATTAATTTTTAATTTTTATAAAGGTGAAGATTTATTAATTTACCAATGCCTAGAAATTGGCATTATAAAGGCAAGCCATAGGAAAGATTACAAAACCAGTTATGCTTAATTACTGACTGTTCTTACAATGCAGTTTATCTGGTGTGTTTCTATATAAATGCTTAGACATATGGATTAGCAGATTACTAGGTGCAGTACTGATTCATATTTACTATGTCCTTCCCCCTACACCTTAATTCACTTTACAGTATATGAGAAAATGAAAATAAAGTACAACAGAGATGCAATACAGTTCAGAAGGAGCCCCATGATGATGAAAAATATATTTAAACTGGATAGAGTATATATAGTATATGGGGAAGGGAGGAGGAGTCCTGCTTCTCTAAAAGTTTGGTGGTCATCACGCTTTAGGAATTGTAAATATTCTTCTGTTCCTTCTACAAAATCAACCACCTCAAATGCTTTGAGTGCATTTCTCACAACAGCTGGAGCAGCTGGTGCCTGCCTGTTGGATCATCCTCTCCCGCACCTAATCCTTGTAAGTGGTAAGAGAATATTCATAATGCTGTTGAGAATTTGGGGTATTTGGGTCCAGTCCTGTTAGCAGTGCTGACATACTGAGTCATAGAATCATGGAATGGTTTGGGTTGGAAGGGACCACACCAAAGGTAATCTTGTGACCGTCCGTTTCCACACCCCCACCCCCACCCCCAACCCCCCCACACCCCCCCGGCAGTAGGCAGGGACACCTTCCATTAGATGAGGTTGCTTCATAGCCCTGTCCAACCTGACCTTGAATGTTTCCAGGGTCGGGACATCTACCATTTCTTCAGTCCTGTATCTTTGAAGTTTCTAGATACAATTTCAGACCAGTTACTTAGTTACTTTTACTGGTGTCACAAGTATCACTTGTGTCACTTCAGTATCACTTAAGCGGATACTGAAGTAGAGAATAAAATGGTTGTGATGTTGGGTTTTTGGGGGGGTTTTGGTTGGTTGGTTGGTTGTGTTTTGGTTTTTTTTTTTAATTTCAGTTATTTTTTTGCAGCTGACACTGTGGTTAGGAATTTTCACATGGACTGTGGGGAGTGAAGTTCAAGTATGTAAAATGGTTCAGTTCAGAGCAGGGGAGTAGAGTAAGCTTTTACAAGCATACGGGATCCAAACTTCAGTTCAAATTCAAACACAGTAAGATAGGAATTGTTGGACTTGATTTAACAGCACTGGGATAAAAGTCATTCTGATAGTAACTGCAAAAATAATCTCCCTTACTCTTGCTGTGTAAACAGAAGTTTTGTAGCTTAGACAAGATGCAGCGTAGGAAACATACCCAGCTGGATCATGGCAGCAGTAAAAATAAGCATGGTGTTTATTTCAGATAAAGAACTATACGCCAGTGTGTGTACCCAGTATGCACACTTTGGTTGTGTAGGAGCCCAGACCGTCCAAGTATGACCCATGAACATCTCATATATATTCTGGTTGGTAGCGTGTACTGAAACCGTTGTTCTCTCTTCAGGGCTTATTTTACGTGATCGATAAACAAAAGCCAGCAGGGACAAGAATTCCTTCAAATCACTGGGCAGATACAATGAAGCCTTAGACTTGAGCAGTGACTTCTATTAAGATACCAATATACAGCAATAATCTTAAGATGCTGTTTCTATTGATGTTACAACAATTATTTCCAGAAGTTAATTACAATACATTTATGAATTGCCTTCTAGTGCCTAACTCCACTTCTTGGTTAGATGGCACCCCAGGCAGTTCTCTATCCTTGCCAAACCATATGCCTTACCTTGGAGTATCATGTAACATATGATCAAAGCAAAATATATAGCTCCATCTGCTGTAAATACTTTGAATTGATTATTTTTGCATTACTTTTTTATGGATGATCTGTACTCTGGGAAACTGATTTATGACTTTGCTTGTAGTATTTTCTGTATGTTAGCAAGAATAAGGATAAATACAGCAGCTAAGTATATCTAGACATTGGACATTGCAAAGTGGTATTTCTTAGTTCTCAGGCAAAAAGGAGCTTAAAAAAATATTTCAAGGATATTAGGAACTTTTGTTAATTATTGTATGATAGATCTGTTGCACTGTGTCATTGCAGATGCTTGTGAAATGCAGAAGTTACATGACTTGCTTAAGTCAGTGGTGGATGGAAAGACATTCACAGTTGTGCTTCTGCAGAGCAATGGCTTTCCAACTTCAGGCACAGCAACACTTTTTTTTAGGCATTTGTCACCAATGCCTTGTCTCTGCATAGGAAGAGTGAATGAGTTGATATCCCATTTTTTAT